ATCAAAAAAGTAGTAACGAAAAAATAGATGAACATTTTATTGGGAAAGATAACATAACCAAATGGAAAAAAAAAAACTAAATTGTCACAGCGTGTAAACAACAGACCACAAAATATTTTAGTGTGTTCGCCAGACATTGTGGGATCTGCAAAACAGGTCAAAACTAATCTCGAATGCTGGAACTGTTTCATAAATAAGGAAATATTGGACATCATTGTTCAGCATACAAATGAGTACATTGTAAAAATTCTGTCACAATTCTTTCATGAGAGAGATGCAAAATGTACAGACCATGTCAAAATGAAAGCATTTATAGGGCTGCTATACCTGGCAGGTGTACTGCACAGTAATAGGAAAAGCTTATAGTGAATTTATATAATAAACATATATTGTTTTTACTTTGTGGAAAATTAAAATTTCATTCTGAATAAATAATAAGTATGCTTACACGTTATTTTCATTCACTTTCAATTTAAATAAGTAAATATCATACACACATCTAGTAGATGCATTATGCCCAAACTCATAACTTTTGCATTGCGCCCGATGGAGGGTTAAGCAATGTGCTATCAATGCCTCATACAAACATCAATAAGGAGTCTTGATCTAGTGATGTTTTATTTATCAGAGGAGAAATGTATGTAACTTAACTATTTCTTTCTCATTTAAGACTCAAGCAACTCAGAACTGCTAACACCTTCAATAGCTATCGTTGCTAATCCCTCTTAGCCTTCAATGTCTTATTATGGACCAAATGTCCGGTGAAATATTGAGATGAGGGGAATGTTCTCTCAATCTGTGCTGTCTGCTTTGAGATTATTGAACACTTGAAATATGGCAAGTGCAACTGAGCAACTGAATCTTAAATTTGACTTCATTTTTGTTCATTTACATTTATATTTAAATAGCCACATGAGGCTAATGGCTACCCTATTGTTACTGGAGCAAGCCCACTAATAGCATCAACAAGTGACAATCAACAGTTTGACAGTAGTGAATTAGAATAAAAATCATACAAAGCAAACATGAGTTAAGAAGCACAGCAGCAAAAGGGCAATTAGGTATAACCATTATGGCATCTGAATGCATCACAGATCAGGGGACATTTTAATAAATGGTGTTTTTAACAGCAATTTTCAAGGTTAAGCAATCGTAATTTCATGATACACTCTGGTCAAGATTCTCTCAGACCCAGAAAAACTACCTAAATGTCCCCAAACTCAATCTCATATATAAAAATAATATTTCTTACCTGCCATCACTCCATAGGTTGATGGCTGGTTTCCATAATGACAGGAAGGAACAGAATAATGAAGTCCCGTTGCTGTGTTTTCCAACGTTGTCATCAAGAAATACGTACGCAAACATTTAGAAGTTTGTATCAAAGACAAAATAGACGGGACTGGTAAGAAAATGTATGAGGATTCAAGACACATTGGTTTTATTTCAAAAATGCACATTTATGTGATTCTTAAATTTATATGCCAATTGTTCGTTCTCATTTGGAGAAAGTTCTCTGATAAGTAAGTTAAAATTAGGAGGTAAAGTTCGTCTCAAGTAATGGATCATGCATCACCAAAGCAGACTATAGCCATCATTGATTATCCTATGCTCTGTGAGGGGAGATGGACCAGTTTGGATCTTGGTTAACTGAGAGCTGCAGAATTCTTGTAGGTTCTATCCAATATAGACATTGCAATAAACTGACTAGAGGAATAGTCTCTTAAAATTCTTGTACAACATGGTATTATAAGGTGGTCTTTCTCTGGAAGAATGAATAGAGAAATTGACTCTTGAACAGTCTTTACTTTTTGTTTATTCTAACTAATGTCTTCCATTAAAGAGGAAATGGCAAAGCAATTAGCCTATTGGTTACACTTATAAAAATCCCAGTAAATTTAGAGGTTTATGAAAAAACCTGTGGACAGCGTGTGATGTGTTTATGTAGATTTTGAAACCTTGAGGTTGTAGGTTTTCTTCATGCACACAATTTAATAATTCTAATGATAAAGCTGGTCAAAAATTAAGTTCATTGTTTTTTGAGTGACTAGATGTCTATAAAGGTTGTGCCTAGTATATAAACATAAACATAAAAGGTAAATGGTTATATACCTTGTGGAATCAATATGTATTTTAAAAGTAAATTAGAATTATATATGTATTTTTTAAATCAAGCTTTAAACAAGATGACTAAAAGAATGGCCTTTTGACAATAAAATCACTAGCCAATGTTTCGTTATATATTTTATTTTCTTATTTTCCTTTATATCCTGAATATAGTGTTGGATTTTCATTAACATAATATAATATCTTCTTGAAAAAATATTAGAGATATTATAAGGTGTACAATTTGGATCCTTTGAAAATATTGAGATATAATTTAGTGATTAACATAAGGTCTCTTTAGAAAGTAAACTATTTTTCTCTAACTATAGAAAAATATTTAATATTTTAAAATATCTGCATAAATTTTTATTTTACAAGTGACATAGAAAGAACTAAAATCATTTTACTGTATGATTATACATAAAGACCTTACTATGCATTCCAAAATTAAACAAACATGAAACACATTAAATACCCAAGTGCGCTTCTCATTATAACCATTATTTCTAATTCTTCATTTAGGTAATGAGAAGTATATGGCTACAATTTGATGGAAAAAAACCCATAAAATCAGTGCTATTATTTAAAATACATTTAGGTCATGTTTATGCATTAGAATTTTTTTACTTCATAAGTTTTAAATACCTTTTGTTTCTCCAATTTTGAGAAGTTGAATAAATGATAGGTTAATCTAAATGTGTGTTATTTATTTAAAAACAAACATTTTTTAAATAAATAAATAGGGTTTTGAGCCAAAACATGCTAAATCATTACCTCAGTTCTAAATTTTATTTTCATTCTGGCCAAATAATGCTCACTCACAGTATATTAAACAAGCAATGTATTATTCTCCTCATCCCCTATTTAAAGGAAGATCTAGTATTGAAAATATACAAGTAAGCTGTGTGGTAATAGTTTAAAGTTTTATAGCACGTATTTTTGGTTACAATACTTTATTATATTTTCAAAAAATATGTTTGGAGTGTACTTCCATTATTACTTTTACAATTAAAGTACACCAATCTTAGGTAGATGAAAAAAATCTTTAATGGTTTTTAAAGTCCACCTATGTAATCTCTGTATTCTTTAAAATTCAGCTAATGATTAATGCCAAACTTACATATATATTTGGAAACTGCCTCATTATAATAAAAGATAAAGCTTAACCCCTTTAAGTCAGAATATAAATTTATCAACTCAAATTTTGATTTCTAAATGTGTAACATTTATTTCATATTTAGATTGCTTTCAAAACAAGTGGAAAGGGAATAGTATATTGCTATTTAATGGAAGATATTTACTCAATTCAAGGATTTGTCTATTTATAATTTTACTTTAAAACATTAGCAAACCATACTCATATAGTTGTGTTTAAGACAATATATTTGAATTATCAAGTTTAATTTTCCCTTAAGAAAGTTAAGTAAGAAAATATTAAAGCTTAGTTAGAGGTTGAAGCCTCTTCAGAACTCAACCTTGAGAAACTTTAATTCAGCTCATGAGCTCTAAATGTTAATTTTGCTTCTAGCTTTTTTTTTGAGTTTTGAATTATGTTTTTAAAAAGGTAAATTTATTAAAATTGTTTAACTAGCTTATTCTTTGAAACCCATTGTTGTTGGTATTGGGAATCAGGTAGTTGTGTTTACTATGAGGTATATGGCTGTTTTTAGGATGGGAACAAATGTAATCTAAAAACCAAATGACTCTTTAAGTTAAAGAAGTAACACTTTAAAAACACTAAATTATTTTAGACTATTTCTTCAGCTTTGCTCTTTATCCATAAACTTTCCATTTAAATGGTTTTGGATTAAAAATAGCCAAACTCAATGTTTACTTATGTAAAGAACAGATCTTTATAATCAAACCAATAATAAAATACTGCACTTATTAATATTTTTTGAAAAATTTCTTAGACATTTGGCCTCCTTAATATCCTTAATATTTAACTTAAGACATATTAAACCGAAGGGGAAAATAAAAGAAGCAAACACAGTCTAAACTAACAAGATTCAAAGCATCCATTCTCAAACCTTTAGGCCCAGCCACCTGTAGGTGGTTATTGGAGTCAGTACCTGTAGACATCACATTGGTGGCGTGGTTGGAGACTGGTAGGCACTCGGCAGCGCTGTGATGCATTATCAGAGGCAGAGTGGCAGAAGACTCAGAATTCAGAGGTATAAAGGTTTCAGCCGAAGTAAAAGGTTGGCAACTCATTCCCACAAGAGAGTAGAAAAATGAGAACTGCTACTCCCCAAATCAAAGTTTTATTATATTACCGTCTCAACGGGCTGTTTCAAATCTCACTACCTGCATATATACATCAGGAAGGCTCTGAAGCACCAAGAGGGCGCGTGCTGGTATTTATACTGCAGGGAAATCCCCTTATACATGTTAATCATCTTTTCCCAGGGGTATTGCTTTATCAATCTGAACTGTCTTCCTTCTCACTCAAACATAATCCATGCCCAAGAGGAAAGCTGGTTCTGGGGTATGGACTAAGGGGAAGGGAGAAATCTGAAACTTTCTTTGACAACTTCAGTAATTCAGGCCTTTTAGAAATACATCAAGAACTTAAAACAAAACAAAAAAGTCTCTCAAAGAAATAATGCTACAGTAAGTTGAAAAATAGTAGGTGTCTTTTTGTTACTAGCATAATGACAAATTTATATATATGTATAAATATATATATAAATATATATGAGGTTTTTTCTTTCTTGATAACTTCTCATTAAATTTGCAAAATAACAAGAGAACGTATTACATAATTTTAAGAAATTATGAATACTTAAGTTTAAATTGAAAGAAGCATAGAAAACTAAATATGAGAATGAATTTATTGCCAACTAGTGATTCACACTCAATGATATGATTTTGAAAAAACCATGAAAATCAATTTAATAGTATTATAAATAGAAAATTATTGAATAAAATTATAATAATCTGTAGACAAGATAAACATGAGAAACAGTACCTCTCCTTTGACTTCAATTTACTCATTATGGGTGAATATTTAGGAAGCTATTACTAGATGCCTACAAGATTCTAGGCACTTTCTACATTTATGTCATGCAAATCTCACATCTGCCTGAGTTACATACCACACCATCCTCACTACACTTGACTGAGCTGGAACCTCTGATCTTAGTCATTCTTCTCCAGAAGCCTGTAGTAACCATGGTAGCACTGGGTGCAAACTTTGTACACAGAATATATTGATATTATATGAGAATGGGAATAAAAATCAATTACTACGAACAATTGATTCAAAGATAAATATCAGCATCAAGATTTTACAACGATCATGAATTCTTCTATGTATAGATGAATGAATGCAATACTATTTTTCATTTCATGAAAATATACATATTTTCAGAATGTATACGAGGGATAACGCAGCAAACAGAAGTAACCTGACAGGCATAGATATTGCTGACGTAAAAAAAGGCCATGCTTCATTTGATTTTTTGAAATTTTATATTATGGAATGTTTCAAGATAACTTGGCATTGGTTGCTTTGTGCTAATTTCATGTTAATATTGACCAGAATACGTTTTCAAAAAAAATTGCTTTGTTAATAACCAGTTGATATTTTATAGAAGAAAAGATGTTATAAGGTTGCCCAAATCATTAGATATTTCCTGAAAAAATATTCGTTCTTAAAATAATGTATTTTTCCATTCTGAATTCTGTATCTTTGAAGCTCCATTAATTTTTCTAATGAGAGGGGATTACAGGTGTCAAAAGTATTTATTTTACTCTTGCAGCATTCTTGATTTTTCAGAATTCACATATCTGAAAAAAGTACTTTTTCAGTGTGTTCATAAAGAAAATTTTCTAGTGAAACTAAATAAATATAAGTTTATTGGGCATTGAATGTTTTGAAAACTAAGTAAATGATAGTTACAGAGAATAGCACTTGAAAATTGCCCCTAATGATTTTGCTATTATTATTTAGAGTGATTGGAATGTGTTGGTAAAATGTATCAATCAATGATAGTAAAGAGCACTGTAAAACATGCCTGGAATAAAACACAAAAAACTTTCCCAGCAGATTGCCGTGCTACCTAGAAGTCTAATCTTAGACATAATTTCTTTATTCATAGTTTTAAATACTTTACTATAAAATGCAAATCAGAATGTTACAGTTAAAGTTGGGTAAAGCCAGGAAATAAATGTTTCCATTATAGAATTCTCCCTTAGTACTATAAACTATTAATT